GCTCACACCACTGCATGCGTGTGTGACCAGAGAGCCCACCACCTCCTACACAACAAACACACACGTACTGGACATCAATGCACGTCCTTTAATGAATGTTAGTGTCCATAAATCTGCAGTGTGTTTGTTGTGAGCTGGTATTAAGAGGTATTTCTTACCTGCTGACAGTAGGAGTCAAAGCTAGTGAAGGCCTGTTTGTACATGTGACCTCCAAAAGGCACCACACAGCAGTCTGAAGACCGCAGGAGTCCCTGAGCTAGAGCCAGAATTGATGGGAAATAACCCCGCATCACCTGTATGAAACATTTACACCATACCTGATATGTACAAGGGAAGCCAATACTTCAGGTAGCATAATTAGGGCTGTTCCTTAAGTCACAAGCATGTGAATGAAAGCATACCTGAGCATGACCCTTAAAGGTCTTCTGCAAGAGACTTTCCTGAATCAGACCCTTGCGAACTTTGACCTTGAGCACTCTCTCCGCCCCACGCCGGCTGTGGTTTGCATTAGTGGAGTAAAGGATGAACAGCACCAACAGATCAACCACCTGAGACAAGAAGTTATGTTAATTCTTGCATTTGGATTTTCAGATACGTAATGTGTCAATCTAATGGGAATCGCATAAAAACATTTTGATAGAAATTAATCAAACCTTATGGTCGTCTGACTCATCAACATTCTCTATGGCCTGAAAATCAAACATTTGAATAGTAATTAAATAACTTCAGTTCATGGAAATATAGTACCTAGTGCTTGAAGGCAGAAAGGCAAACGAAACAGCTATCAAGATTATATGAACTCTCAACTCACTTTTAGCCAAGCCTCTGAGATGGTCTTCTGAAAGCGGATAGCTGACTTTATGACATCCAGAACCAAAGCCACACTATCCTGACCATTGTTGCATGATGGGACACTGGAGGACCCGAGCAGTGACATTAAAATCAAGAACAAGACAGAACATGGCCAGCAGAACTGGACATATTCCCAACTTCTTATTTGTCTTCCCAGGAATAAAGCAAGTCATATGGGTTTGGGTTGGATGGATAGAGAGTAAATAGATGAAGATAGAATTTCACTCAAGAGAAAGCAGGAAAAAGTCTCACCCTGACACGGCTTTGCTTATCATACGACTCTGGGAGGCCTGCAGCACAGCTGGCAAGACACACTGCTCCAACTCAAGCTTTTTACGCAGGTCACACACCACCTGAGGAGCATGAATGGACATGAGCATAACTACAGCTCTACAGCAATAGGAAACTGATTAAAATTGTCTACCAGAGAAAGAAAATTTTCATGACCAGAAATAAAAAAAACTGTCATAAACAAAGGTCAGTTTAGAGGCCTGACCTCATTAGGACCAGATGCAGAGATGGAGTGTAAGACGAACTTCACTACAACAGGAAGATCCTCTAACTGCACAGCAGAGAGAGTTCCCATTACTGCCTCACGAACCTGACAGAGAGAAAGACACAGAGGATTTTTAATAGTATACACTACAATTTAAATGGCAAAATAAATTAATATTTTTATAAATATGCTTTAAAATTATAAAAAGTGATTTTTACATAAACATTTTAAAAAAATATTTCAAATAAATGCTGTTCTTTTAAACTGTTTATTCATCAAATAATCTTCAAAAAATTATCAGAGTTTGCACAAAAATATTAAGCGGAAATTGTTTTCAACATTGATAATAATAATAAATGTTTCTTAAACACCAAATCAGCATATTAGAATGGTTTTTGGAGGATTATAAGAGAACCGGCTTTACTGATAAGGTGCGCGTTAAATATCGCATGCGATTAATCGTGCAGCCCTAGACTGGAGTATATTTTTAGGAAACATATTTGGAGTATATTTTTAGGAAACATATTTGCATGTTTAGAAGTACCTTGGACAGTAACGCAGAGCTCAGATTCAAACTGGATAAAGCATCCAATATAGGCACAGCGAGCTGAGTGTTCTGCTGAAGTAAACCACTGCACAAGAGAGCAGACACAAACACAGACTCACTTAAACACAACATACACAATGATAATAAGTATCTACATTATAATCATAGTCAACATTACCATCACAGCCAGCCATAATTACTAAACCAAACATAGGTCAAAACAACACAACTTTAATTTCATGCATTGGGAAATGGCACAAAAAACAGCAGGCGCAGCTACTGTTGACGTACTTCAGCTCTTTGGCCGTGTCTCCATGCTGGGAATCCTCCAGGATTTCAGGCAGGCTGGTAATAATGTCTCGCTGGATCTCCACCGGAGCCACAGACACCATCTGCATCAGCTTACTGCTCAAATCCTACACGTACACAGCAATTAGTCAGACACCAGTCAGACACTGGTCACGGCAATGCCACAATTTGGCTATGACAAACATTTATGTCCGCTACAAAGAACTGTTGGCAATTATGATGTTCACTGGAACATTTTCATCATGTAGGTTTCTCACATCAACATTATCAGTGGACTGAGTACCTTGCCATCTACAATTCGGTCCAGCCACTTCAACTGGTTTATTATGAGATGGGGAACGTTGAGGCCATCCTCTCTTACACTGTAACAGAGCACATTACTGTCAGCGTCAGTGATGAGCGAATGTTACAGGACTGTGTCTGTAATTAAAGTGATGTGTATTAAAAGAATCATCAAAAAGACATTTACCCCTCAAACATGAATTCTGGAAGCTTTTCGAACAAAATGTTTATGATCAGGGTCTAAATGCAGAAAAAAGAAGAAAAATAATTTATATATATATATATATATATATATATATATATATATATATATATATATATATATATATATATATATATATATATATATATATATATATATATATATATATATATATATATATATATATATATATATATATATATATATATATATATATATATATATATATATATATATATATATATATATATATATATATATATATATATATATATATATATATATATATATATATATATATATATATATATATATATATATATATATATATATATATATATATATATATATATATATATATATATATATATATATATATATATATATATATATATATATATATATATATATATATATATATATATATATATATATATATATATATATATATATATATATATATATATATACACACACATATATATTATTATATAATAAGATAATATAAAATTAAATAATAATGAATGAAAAAACAATGGATTCAGACCAGTCTAAATGTTGGAAAAGGAAAATAATATATATCTTAATTTTCTATTGCTTTGTATTTTCAGATTTAAATTGAGCTGATATGTTTACCTGTAGCATCTCTATTCCAAGCAACAAGCGTACGAGACTTTCCTGATAGGAGCCAGAACTGACATTAAAGGAAAAATAAACAAAAAAGACAAATAAGAGTATATAAGAGTAATAAAACAATTGCATAAAACAATGTAATGAATTCTTGTAATGTTTCAGATGGGAAAACAAGAATCAGTGCATTACTTGGTATCCTGCTGTGAAGAGGATGATGGCACACAAGGTAGCAGGCAGTTTCTGAATCTCTCTGGGTCTTCAATGTATATTTCCAGTGCAGATATAAATTCCTGAATTATCTATAAAACAGCCATTTGACAATGTAAACATATTTAGAGTAAGCTTCTTTTGTGAAAAGAAAAAAAAAGTGATATGATGATAAGCTGTATCTCACATTGGGGAATCTGGGATTTTTTCGTAGACGCTGCTGGAGCCGCTTTTGAAATATTACTTGGTCAACAGCTGTAAAAATAATAATAATAATGTGTATTATTATAATCATAATAATAAAATAAAAATGTAAAAATAATGTAAAATAATGTGTTGATATGAACGTGCATGCATGCATTGTGATTTCACCTTTATTGTATTCAATACACACTTTCTCATTCTTTATCTTACCAACTTCATTAGCTGTACTGCCAGCTCTCAAAGTGACACCAGCTTCCTTCAGAAACTGAACAAAAACTGAGTCCGGGTACGAGTCCTGTGCTGAAGACTTTGTGGGCCGTCCACTGCTCTTGGTCTTTTTTGACTCTGTATGAATGAAGACGCATCAATAGTCCAATAATAATATATTTTTTTAACTACACCAAACGTACAAAGATTTGAGACATTCCCGAGTTATGTTAGAAGTGACGTCATCAGGAGCTTACTCGGAACGTCACGTGTGGAATCGTCATCGACAGTGATGGATGAGCGCTTCTTTTTACGCATCATCTTCAACTCAGATCAGAAGAACCGGTGAGATTGAATTGATAACAGATGTTGCCTGTTGGGGTTACAACAAATCAGCTATTTCACAAGAGTTAGATGAAATCACACACAACTGACAGTTCAATAATGACAATTCTGGTTCAAACAATCCCAGAATCCATCTCTGAAGATGGTAAACAATCATTCCATGACGCAAGAGCTAAATTACACATTCGACTAACTCGACGAAATTACCGTATTTGAGACAAGGTGTGGTCAGAAGTGTTTACCTTAACGTTACTCCCCGCGATTCTGATCTTAAACGTTTGTAATTTAGATGTTATATTAATAAATGCTGATTACATTTAGATTTGAGCATAAAATGTATGTTTTCGTAAACAGGCTAAAAGACGAGTCTGTTGCAAAGCTTCCCGCGCCAGTGTTTCGTAAAATCTAGGGACCGTGGTAAAATTCTCAATTCTGTATCGATGTACGAATAGTTTTGGGACTTTTGTATGTTTTTGTCTATTATTAACTATATCAGTCTTGAGTGTAAACATGCGAAATACATCAAAAAGCACGTTAACAGACCCACAGATAAGAAGATAAACATTCTCAACCATTAAGCAGTAAACGTAACACTTTGTTGACACTCTCTGATCTTTTATGGGCGTGTATTAAAAGTAGGCGGGGAATGTCTTGCCATGATTGGTCGCTGCATAGCACACCGCCCACATTTATCAGTTTTATGCAAGTAAAATATGTATTAGTTACCTGCGAGACAACGGTGTGGGAGTAAACATGGCTGGAATAAAATCGTTTTACGACATCACAGCCAAAACCCTTACTGGTGAGGAGTTAAAGTTGTCTTCTTTCCAGGGCAAGGTGGTCTTGATCGAGAATGTCGCTTCTCTTTGAGGCACGACCACCAGGGATTACATCCAGATGAACGAGCTCCACGAACGCTTCTCCGATAAAGGGCTTGTGATTCTGGGAGTTCCCTGCAATCAGTTCGGCTATCAGGTAAGATGACTACAGTAAACTCTATGTTTGATTCAATAGCCCTTCACTGCCGAACAGGTGCCTGTGCTTTTGGCGCACTCGTTCTGTCATGACCTGCTGTTTTTATGTATGATAGTTCATCTGTATAAAATAAGGGCAGCCTAAATTTAAAAACGTAAGTAACACTTATTTTTAAGTCAATAATCAACAGATTAATGATTAGCTACTTTACATTAAAATTGAAATATCAAGAAATTGTAGTTTACATAATTACATAGTTATATTTGGATATTAATTACTGATATAATACATATTATTATATTATATTATGAAGAATTATAAAACAGATCAGTCCTGGTTTTAGATGTTGATACTGTAGCCTTTTTTTATTTATTAAAGAACAATAAACAAACAGCCATAGTACACAGATGTGGTTACAGTTTAAGATATAATAATAATAATACTTTAATTTTTTTTTATAAATAATTAAACAAGATTAGCTATATTTAATTAAATTATAGATTTAGATTTCTTATTAAAATATTGTTTAAATAGTATATGTAAAAGTCAGTAACCAAAGCAAAACTCAGTTGTTTCAATTTTGCTTTTATGTATATGAAATGTACCAAATTTACTAAATAACTAAGTAAAGGATTTCTTATTAATATGTTGGTAATACAGTATATATAAGAGACTCGACAACCAAAGCAACACTCATAAAATTATATAAAATTAGTTATATAAAATTTGCTTTTGTGTTTATAAAATTTACCAAAGTCAAATCAATTTAAATTAAGTAACCACATATAAAAAATGTGCATATTAAGCAGCACTCTTTCAAAATTATTTTCCTTTGATTTAGTATTTTAGTATGGTTTAGTATTAGTTTAGTCATTTTATTTTAAAGAGATTCTCTAATATGTTTATTTGTATAATTTTTACTTATATATAATATATAATAATGTATAAAAAATATATAATAATGAGCCATCAGCCATGACTATACTCAACCCTTCTACTGTATTCTTAATTTAGGAGAGCCTCTCATACTTCACTGTCTAATTATTGTTCAGTAAAGACATAATAATCAATGTTATTGCAAATTATTACTGGAATGCCTGTTCAAATGTCTTTATGATTATGTTGCTTATTTATTTATTTTTCTTTGCTTTTGTAGGAAAACTGTACAAATGAAGAGATCCTTCCGTCCTTGAAGTATGTCCGTCCTGGCAATGGCTTTGAACCTAAATTCCAGCTCTTGGAGAAGGTTGACGTGAACGGGAAAGCCACTCACCCTCTCTTTGTCTTCCTCAAGGAGAAACTTCCATTCCCGAGCGATGAGCCAATGCCCTTCATGAACGACCCCAAATTTATTGTGTGGAGTCCTGTGTGCAGAAATGATGTCGCTTGGAATTTTGAGAAGTTTCTCATTGGATCTGATGGCGTGCCATTCAAACGCTACAGCAGGAGATACCTGACCAGCAACATTGAAGGAGACATCAAGAAACTTCTCAGCGTAGCCACCTAAAATGGTTTGGGTGTCAAAATAAAGTAATAATCCAGCTTCTGCATTGCAAACCTTCCCCTATATGGATCTCCAATAGGTTTTCATGACAGGTTGTGCTCTCATGTGCATGATGTTGCTGTGTTTGGACTTTTACTTCATGAAGGTGCTCCTGTAAACATGCTTGTCTGTGGGGAGCATCTGATGCCGTGCAGAAGTCCTAACTGAACTGTTTCATTTAGCTCTTGGATGGCACAACATGCATTTTGAACCAATAAATGTTTCCTTACTCAAGATTCAAGATTTCCTTCATTCATTTCTCTTAGGGTTTTATCTGTTGTGTAATACAGTACTGATCATCAGGTGCTTTGAAGAGGTTCATTCTATATTAATGAGTTCCAGTGGAAACTTATCTCTAGTGTGGGTGTGTGAGGCGGGAGTAGAATTTCCCACTGCAGTTACAAAAACAAAACAAAAAACACTTCTTATATTTATTTTGAAAAAAATAATATATAATTATGGACCACCAAATCAGCATATTAAAATAATTTTCAAAGGATCATGTGACACTAAAGACCAGATTAATGGCTGCTGAAAAATCTACTTTGAAATCACACAAATATTACACATATGAATAAATATATTTAAAAAAGGAAAACCGTTATTTTAATTGTAATATATCACAATATTATTGTTTACTGTTTATCAAGTAAATGCAGGCTTGGTGAGCATTATTTTAAAAATCTTCATTATTCCAAAATATTTTACTGGTAGTGTTTATAGTGGCATGAAATCATTCAATACACATAACAAAAATATCTAAATCCACACATTATTCAAAAATAAATAATGTAAACATTCATACATCCATTTCCGTTTACAACAGCCAAAACCAATGCCATTTTCCACCATGAAATAATATAAAATAGTAATAACGAATGATGGGTAGGTTTGTGGAATCTTTTGACTGATCCTGATGAATATGACAGATTCATAAATCATCGGATGCAAATTGATTTCTTAATGTTATAAAAGAAAAAACAAAGCCATTATCTATAACCAGGCTTCCACATTTTATTATATTTTCAATTCAAATAGGCTTTAATCAAAATCTGGTGTTGCACATGTTGGCATGATAAATAGCAGAACACAAAGCAGCTATGTACTGTGCCCCAGATTATGATTATGTACATCTATGCAAGAAAGGTCTATGAAATTACAAAAACAAAAAAAATTTTTAAATAGATGTTTCACTAATGAAGGAGCTGCAGGGGTGCAGCTTGAGTCAATGATCAGTTTGGTGTCTTACGTTTTATAGCTGGATCCATAAATAACAACGATAGTGGATTTACCAGTCAATGACTGCTAATACCATAGAAAGGTAAACACCAGAATCGACCATCTAGTTTTGCAGATTCAAAAATTGCATGCTGTTTTGCCACACACAAAAAAAGAATATGCTTCTTGTATTATGTTCTTAGCAATATGAAGCATTTGTCTTTCAAGCTTCGAGTTGTTGCTAAAGCAATCTGACACACATAATGCCACAACTAATCACATGGCAGATGTGCCAATGTAAATCTACAGGTAATGATAAAAGATATTCTTTGTGTCTATGAGGTTGTTCTTAATTAAAACAACGGCCATTCTTTATGTTCCTCTGCCATGTACTTGTACCTGTTCAAGGGTCATAAATTTAGCACCACTTTCAATACTCCTCTGGACTGAAGCCATTTAGAGAGCAGAAAAATCCACCGGAAAAAAAACACAAATAAAAATATATTATTACAAAGCACAAACCATCATATCTGGAAAAAAAAAAAATGCTTCGGAACAGCGTTGAGCACAACTGTGACTTGCGTTATTCCACATATCATTTTCATAAGCTTCCATTTTCAGTTTTTGGGGCATAAAAGGCTGTTAGTGTGAATATATTAGAGAGCAGCCCCCCCAAAAATCAACATGATAATAAAGTTAAATATTTCACTCTCCGGCATGGTATATTTTTAACAAAAAGTGTGGCTTGTGATAGGATAAATGAAACATGGAGACAATATTTAATATAAGAGCGCAAGCTTCTCCAAGAGAATCTCTGTGCTTATCACCATATGCTTAGGTTATTAATCACAGAGTCTATTCTTCACAGGAGGCACATGTTACAAGATGCTGATAGCTAGAGTCCAACATAAGTGGGTAGAGGCATAATTGAAACATTTCAGATGAGCGTAATGTTGCATACATAGTCTATGTCTAGGCATTTCCCCTCTCCTGGTCTAGTTCATCTAACATTCATGTCGTCCAAAGAGAGGTTATATTGCCGTTTCACCCTCATTTCAGACTAAAAGAAATGAGCTTCTATGATCAGCAGGCATCAAGGTCCAAGAATAAAGTCTTTCATGTCAAGCTTCAAACTAAAATTCTCTTTATTTATTATTAATATTCTTTTTTTGGCTCTTGATAAAGACGCATGTGTGAAAGAAAGAAAAAATTAAAATAAAGCTAAAAACAAAGGGCCTGTTTGTGAGCCTTTAATAGTCACTGAAGTAGCCAGGGATGTGCATTGATGCATTGATGATTTCATCTTTATGTAGTTTTTGTTTCAGTGCCAGTCACTGAAAGACTAAAAGAAACTCAGTTGGTGTCCATGTGGTCATCCAGGGTCTCTGGAGCTCCACCTAGTGATGTGGAGGGGGTGGATTTGGACAGTGTGTCTGCATCTCTGCGTTGGTAAAAGAGCACATAGGCTGCTTTAGTCTGCGGAGAACAACAAAAAAGACAATTCTGAGTCAGTGTACAAACCAGCAATTGCCAATTTCTATACTGGAAAACAATGGCTCTTTCAGATTCATTAAAGGGATCGTTCACCCAAAAATAAATATTTGATATGGGAATCACGGCTTTGAGAGTAAAAAAAACATACACAAACAAAACCAAATTAAACCATGCGGCTCGTGACGATACATTAATGTGTAAAGACACGAAACGATTGGTCTGTGCAAGAAACAGAACAGTATTTATATAGTTTTTTTACCTCTGATGCACTGCAATGTCTGAACTGTCCAGAGCGCGTCCTCGACAGCCGGCGCGTCGTCGTCTTCTTGCTTTACGGCGGATCGCAGATTTACAAGTGCATTACCGCCAGCTATCTCTCAAATGGACCATTGACACTTTATCTACAATCTCAATTAGGAGTGTCAATCTTCCATTTGAGAGATAGGTGGCGGTAATGCACTTATAAGTCTGCGATCCGCCGTAAAATAAATACTGTTCAGTTTCTTGCACAGACCGATCGTTTCATGTCTTTACACATTAACGTATCGTCACGAGCCGCAGGGTTTAATTTGGTTTTGTTTGTGTATGTTTTTTTTTACTCTCAAAGCTGTGATTCCCATTCACTTCCATTATAAGACTGACAGACTGCAACGGTTTGAGTTAAAAATCTTCGTTTGTGTTCTACTGAAGAAACAAAGTCACCTACATCTTGGATGGCCTGGGGGTAAGTAGATAAACATCACATTTTCATTTTTGGGTGAACTATCCCTTTAACCACTGTGGAACGCTTTTTGAGTCTGGAAATGTTGGCATTTCTTTTAATAAAATGGAATGCGTAGTAGTCTCACCACAATCTGATCCTCAGTTGAAGACGACACACTGCTGTCGTCAAAGTAATACCATTTTCCATCCATCTTGTTCTTGCCGTATGCCGTGTCTGCAAAAGAAAATTAAATATAATTGTCAACAGCTGAACTTTGGCAATCAAAAACAAACCAAGCTATCATTTCCAAGCAGCAATATAATGACAAAGACATAAATGATCAACTCTGTGTTATACTTTCTGTAGTAATGCATTAAACGTGAGATAAACCAAGCTAGGTTGCAAAGGTGAACAAGTGAAGGTGATAAAGGGAAAATAAAAGGCTTCTGACACAACCCAGTTATGTATTAATATGACTGTTAATATATAACTGGACATATGAATAGTAAGGACGTCATCTCATAATGGGAGAGTTGTGCAAATAGAGAGACTTACAGTGGCCTCCGCCCATTCCTCCATAATGGTTGGAAACAGCAATGAGGTCATAGACATATGGGTCAGCTTTGGGGTCACAAACAAACTCTGACATGTTCAAGTCCCTGTGTGAGAAAATGTACATTCATTTCCAAACATGAAGTCACCAGAATTCCAGACGTTTTCTAAATTTTCATTTGTAAAGTTAATTTCATAAAAACACTTAAAAACTAATCCCCCACAGTAAGTGTGGCTGATCAAATTGTTTACTTGACATTTTAACCGTGTAATTTTTTAATCAAGACATCAGTACATATGTACTAAACTGCAGTTCTGTGTTAGTCAACTCCTTTTACCACAATGAACAATGGATGATTTTGTCTGTCCAGACAAGCATGACTCAGCTTCCTAGAAACTGACACCTAATGCATTGCACCTGACTTTTGTGCACTCTTTCCTGCTTCTTGTTCAGTAAGGTAACCCTGACCAAATCCAAATAGGATCAAGGCCAAATGCACATGCCAAACAACATGTCGAGAAAAAAAGTCACCCAGAAATGTGGCATTTTTGGTATCTGAAGTGTCAATATTCTGCATTCTATAAATTAATGTGTCACATTATAACTCAAATTAATTTGATGAAAAAAAAAATCTGATGTATGAATACAAATTTGCACCTGAAGTCAGATTATGTAACATCCCCAAATGGGCCTAAGACAATGACAAAGTATTTTGTGTGGAGGGAAACATTTTGGCACCATCTGGTGGGAAATTTACACAAGCACTTTACATGAAGAGGACACACAGTGGCATCTTACTTAAAGATACAAGTACCATGTTCTTTGGAGAACTATTAGATGTTTTAAGATATTATGTAATTTAAAATTAACAGCATTAAGAGTTAAAAATTAGTTAAAAAGCATTAATTAGTTAAAAAATATGAATAAAAAAATATATACATTCAATTATATTTGGCCTAAACATTTAACACAATAATAGCTTTAAATGATCTTTCGGGGGTATTTTTTTACAGCCAAATTTAGTTTGCAAATTTTAGTCCCGCAACAGATTTACCTAATTGGAAAGTCTACAACAGTGTCGAGCTTGTCTCTCCAGCAGCGGTTGTAAGAGAAGCGCTTCAGATGCACGACCAGAATGCGTGGGAGAGACCATAGGTCAAACTTCTTTGTGGCCTGCTGGTGTTTCTTACACGTGGGGCAGTACCTTCAGAGGAGCACAGCAATCATTAAAACTGCACTAAATGTGGCAATACTTTGGTAAAACACTTGACCTTGGAAGTATGGGCAATAAATGTCACAATCTGTAATGATCTGAGCATCCTCCTCACCAGGGGTCGTGTTCTCCTAGGGTCTCCATTGTAGTAAAGAGTTCTATGCATTCTCGTAAAGCTACTGTAGTCTTCTTCTTCTGAGCATGTAGCATGCTCTCATGTTTGTCATAGGCCTGAGGAGAGACTTCACATTAATGTCTGAGGAGACTTAGCAGGTAGCTAAAAGAAAAGGCTGATTAGTCAGTTTTTGTGAGGATAATAGTAGACATTAGGGGTGTAATGGTACACATATTTGTACCAAAAATGTCAGTACTGCTTGTGCTGAATGCAATTTCAAACACTGAGTTTCCCCCCTAGGATGGGACAACATTGTTTATATTGATATGCTTTGCTTTAGCAAACACATCTGAAAAATAACAGAGTGAGCTGCTGCCAGATAAGTGCACGATCCAAGATCAAGAAACATGCTTTATATTAAGTGCTTGAAACTAAATCATAAACCTAAGTGGTTTGCCCTACTGTTAGATGTGTGTTTTTATGAATTTAAGATCCATTTTCCTCAGAGCACAACCGACATCTTACGGTTGTATACTTACCTGTAACTGTTACAAATTCACAAGTATTATCCTGATAACAAGCGCGTCTATTTTTAACTTCACAGACTTCAACGAATGAGTGCACACGTGTCAAATAGAGTGGATTAGAATTGGAACACAGTAATTCTAAATATTTTTTTTTTACATATTTGCATCCAGAAGTGCAAGCACTGCAAATCTCTTCCCCCACTTAAAAGAGCACCATAAACTGCAGTGTATGTTGAAAGACATATTATTTAATTCAAAGACAGACGGTTTGTTCAGTAATCCACTGTTTTATAAAAAAGAAAGAAAAAGAAAAAAATTCCCCCCTGCTGTACCAAAAATATGCCGCACCGTGACTTCAAAACACATAACAAACCATCATTTTTGTGTACCGTTACACCCCTAATAGACATCTTGACCATTGTGTCACATCTTGCTGGACCCTAATTACACATGGCTTCCTTAACATCCACTGATCTACTAGTCACTTAAACAACCAACTAGATTATTTTAAAAATATGTACAATATCGTTCATAACTTTAAAGTAAGATTTTATTTTTTTATGTTTGAACAATTGAGTAATGGCTGCAGATAATTCAGCTTTGCATAACAGTAATAAATTACATTTTAAAATATACTAAAATAGAAAAGTTATTTAATAATATTGCACAACACTACTGCTATTACTGTATTTTTGATCAAATGAATGCAACTTTTTAACAGTAGTGTAATTTTGCACAATTAGTGGAATAGAGAGCATTACCTCAGCCTCCTGGTCGTCGTAGCACAATTTCTTTGTGTCTGAGTCCCAATCCATGGCTACTGTAGAGTGAGCTGTAGAAAGGAATATCTATCAGTTTTGATTTATGGGCAAGAGCAAGCGATCCTAAAGAGTTCCGAGTCAGACAAAAATGGTCACAGTTAATAATCCACCCGATTCATTTGATTAATTTTTAGCACCAAATGTAAAAAGGTAATAGTTACTTGTGAGCTTTAGGAGATTGCCATCAAATGGGACAGAACTAATGTTGGCTGTGCCGTAGGAGTTGACCATGCTGAAAGAAAAGAGTTTTGGCCGAGAAGTAAAAGATTTTCCACCACTGCTATTGGGCCCATTCTCTGGTTCTGGTTCTGGTTCTGATTCCTCCTCTCCATCTACAGTGTCTGAATGGCTGTTCTCTGGTTCTGGACTCTCCTGGTGATCCATGGCTTCCTCATCACCTGAAATAAACACATATAACAAGATCAGATCTGTATCTGATGAATGTGAAGAAAACCTAAATGGATGACAGTATGAATGCAGCATTTGGGAGCTTTTACGACATTTGCTCCCAAACGTTGAGTGTCCTACCATCACAAATTCCATTGGGGCCGTTGCAGGTTCCAGAGTGGTTGCTGTTGTTGGATCCAGCACTGCAGGAAGCTCCATCTGAAACTGGGCTGCTGCAGTCACTCAGGCCAGTGATATGACTGGAAACTGAAGCTAGGCATTCTGGTGATTGGCTGCTGCTAGAGGAAGTGGCCGAGGCAGATGCTCTACTGTCAGTAATGGTACCCTGTGAACGTTTAACATAGTGCCTAAAAGAAAAGATAAATAAAAGTTCAACCAAGATTGCAGTGGCAGAACTGGTGTAAAATTGAGATAGACCACCAAAGCACAACACCAACCCGATCCTCTCCAGCACGCGCTCATAGAGGGTATCCATGGTAAGGTTGTGGCGTGGGATAGTGATGAGGAGAGGCTGGCCGAAGAGCATTGTGCCCGAAGCGCCTCCGCTGTGCTTAGCATGCCTCTCTCTGAAGTACACTGGCAGGTTCATCTTCTCACTATCTTCCTCTAACACCTCATAACTGAACCACAAAGACACAATCAGAAAAAGGCCACTCACTTAAACAACACACTTAGCTGAACAGCAAAACTTATAGTATGAAAAACAATTCAAACATATGCTACAGTTCAGAAGTTTGCAGTCAGTCTTTTTTTTTTTTGAAAGAAATTAATATTTTCAAGGAGGCATCAAATAAATAAAAAAAATGACAGTAAAGACATTTACAATGTTACAAAAGACTGATATTTCAAATAAATACTGTTCTTTCTTTCGATATTTCAAATAATTTCTTTGATGGACTTTCTTTTCAAAGAATCCTGAAAAAAAAAAAAATGTATCGTGGTTTCCACTAAAGTATTAAGCAGCACAACTGCTTTCAACATTGATGTTAATAAGAAATTAAGCACCAAATCAGCATATTACAATGATTTCTGAAGGATCATGTGACACTTAAGACTGGCGTAATAGCCACAGAAAATTCAAGGAATAAACCACATTTAAAATATACTAAAATAGAAAACAGCTATTTGAAATTTTAATAGTATTTCAACAATATTACTTTATTTTAGATCAAATAAAAATGGCACCTTGGTAAGCATAAGAACCTTCTTTAAATAATAAAAAAATAATAATAAAAATAATGAACCCAAACTTTTGAACAGTAATGCAAGTAGAATTTTAAAAATGACTTACACAAAAATGTCATCCTTCTCCAAGATGTGATTGAGACCGTCATCCCGTTTGTAGATTTTGTGGAATCTGTGATTGTAAACATCTGCCACAACCATCTATAACAGTATGGGGGTGGGTAAATGATGACTTTTTTTGTTGTTGTTGAAGGAATCATTTCTTTAAGCAACATAAATAATGGAAAACGATTGTTAGGTGTGAATGAGGGGAAACCATTGAAGTCTTACATTCTCTGAAGGAATTCCAGATAGCTTGGCCAAAGCGCTGCACAGGTCTGCCACTACACCCATTTTGGGAACAACTACACGATACTGGAAGATAACAAATGGATCTTTTAGCCCACCAACTAAACCATGCGTCTGAGTGTTTTCAGGAAAATAGTTCTTACTTGCATGGGTCTAAACTGCGGGTCAGTGCGGACCAGGAACACCTCCATAGTGCGATCCTTTTTCATGGGCAGGGGCAGTGTGAGGTAGCAGAAGGGGTCAAAGGTAACGGAAACTTTGGAGCATTCTGGGCAAACCAGCGTAGATTTGAACAAGCCATGGAAGATGTCCACGATTACAGAATAGTTCCGCAACCGGTGATTCGCCCATGCTTCCTTGGCTACAATCTACAGACAAATGAGATACCCACTATTCAAACAACATTCTTCAGTTTAAAACGTAAGGGCCAAATGCTTATAATGTTATAGTGGTCAGAATAGTGCTTATTCACAGGTACAAAAGAAATAATAGCTTTTGTCTGATGGTTTATCGTTTTCACTACGTCTGTATTTTGTTTCCAACTAAAATGCACGCCACATTGTGGTTTACACATGAATGTTTACCTCATCAGGCCGTCCCTCAGCATCTCTCAGGGCCAGATAAGGCTTCTTCTTAACACGGTTAAGGTCCTCATGTAGGCCGTCCAGCAGAAAGGCCAACAGCTCCTGAGAGTCTTGTTGCTGGTACCCTGAGAACTGCGGGGCAAACCGGCCCACCTGGGTCTGACCAGAGAGAGGAGATACAGTTCAACATTCAGGTCTGTCTTAAAAATGGCCAATGAGTTCCATAGTAACTTTAGCCTCTGTAGGCTAAAGATTCACTCACTTTAAAAGTGCGTGGAGCCACATAACTGCTCTGACTAAGCCACATCTGTTTGACCAGATCCGCGTAGGCCTCTGCAATCTCCCCTCGCATCCCTAATGGATTTTCCCGGTTGATCTCAGCTTCGTACTGGTCTTCCAAGAAATATTCCGTTAGAGGGGGAGTGTTGCTCAGGCACTGAAATAAAAAGTCAATCAGAATGAGAAGGAAATGAGGGTTTGGCTGCTAGATGTAAAAAATTCAGGGTTTGGCTGCTAGATGTCATAACTACACAGTCTGGGCTCACAAAGCATCTTTCTTCCATTGACACCCATCAGCATACCCATATGCCCATTAGCAAATAGGGCAGATTTCAAAACATACTGTTTAAATGAACATTCACTTTTGCATACCTGGAGAGCAGAGTTCATGAAGCAGGTGTTGCCCAGGTTGCTCAGACCACAGAGGCCTTCCTGAGCGGAAGATTCTCTGTAACTGTAAGAGGAGCTGTAGGAGTTGTAACTTCCCAGTCTGCAAATTGTATGGTGGGTTAGCAAAGACATTCACCATTAGTTAACACCACAATTCAGACCATCACAAATGGTCAACCCAATGCTGAATACAAGAAACCTGACCTTGAACTGAAACCTTGTTTCAGTTCCCTATTTAAACTCTCCCAGTAAGGAACTAAATTAGTGTATCTGTGGAGTAATTTAGGACTGTTTTATGTGATTTAATCTGACCTGTTACCAGAAGTACTGCTGTTCAGCATGTAGCCAGAGTTGCTATTGCTATCCCCGTTTGTTATTGTGGAGGATATGGTGGCAGATGAGTTAGAAGAGAGTTTTGGGGAGGTTGTATAATTCCGAGAGGTGGAAGTACTGGACCTAGGCATAAATCAAAGAATAGGTTAGGGTAAATCCAAGCTGTGTTATAATAACAAGAGTTAATGGCAATCAAAGCAACCAATTTAAAAGAAAGCTCCCAATAATTAAAAAAATGGTAGAAGTAAAAGCATAAAAAACTTCAGGTACCTCCAGTTCTGAACCTTTAAGTGATTTCTTTTAAGCATTAAGCTCCAACGTTAATAATAGTTGCTTAAGTGTGAAAATGACCTAAATTGCATGTACATACTTGGAATGGCAGGTCTGTCTGGGCCATGTGCCATCCTCATTCTTCTTCTCAATAACAAGAACCTGAGGAGTGAGATGAGATTGATGATGTGAACTCATAAAATGTCAGTCAGAGTCTCAAACCAACCACAACTGGAATGGAATGCAGCACAGTGGTTTACCTGGCCCTGAAAAAGCCCTGCGTCCTGTACAGTGCTGTCAAGCTTGTTAAGTTGTTCGTAAGTGTTACTCATATATTTATTCCAAAGTCGAGTTTCCTTTTCAGATGGGATATCGAATAAAGACCTCATTTCCTTTTCAATAGTATCTAGAAGGGAAAAAATGGATATGAAATGATTGTTCACAAGGGCTGCATAATTTTTATTAGATCAATTTTGAGTTCAAACACATGCACAGCTGCTGATAATAGCTGTAAACAAATAAAATGAATGATGAATGAACAGTTCTCAATAGCTAGTACCAGTGCCTTGTAGTGATGGTAATGGATATAATCAGTGATGCAATACTACCGATGAGAGAAATTTATATTTTCTTGGAAGGTTTGTAAGTCTCGTACCTATAGTGTCAGCTTTGCTGAAATGGTGGGTAACAACTTTGTCCATGTTGTCATTATCGCACAGGTTCAACTCAAGCAAATACACTTCCACTTTACAGTGCTTCACAAACATTCCATGTTCAACAACCTGGAAAACAAGTTTTTAAAAAAACACTCATTAACACAAAGCAAAACGAAACTAGAGGCTTTTAAAGCATTTAAATTAAACTTTAACCATTTAACTGTGTAAGAGTTTCAATGCAATTAAAACATGACAGTAGTATCACCCAATAACCCTGCCTGTAATCACTCAAGTATATCAGACATGGGTAAATACAGGTATCTCAGAAAAAATGGAAAACCAAGAGATTACCACAATATGAAAAACTACAAAGAAATATACAATACACAAAGAAAGAATGTAGAACCTTTCTGATGATGGGTTTCTGACCCTCCAGACAGCCATACCAGCTGACCAGCTTATTCCAGGCCTCTGTAGGAACTAAAACATAGTCCAACTCATCTATGAGATGCTCTTTCAATGTCTGGGACTTGTGATCTACGATACAGAGAGAAAAGGGGGAAATCATTAGAAAAACACATTAGAGCCCTTTAACACTACACTGTATTATGCAAAAGAAATAGCCATGCTTGGCACAGATTTTGTGTGGTGCACAACAAATTAACATTTTTTTCCTTAAACATAAACATTTGGTCATCATTTATTCACCTTCAAGTTGTTTCAAGTTTTTTGACTTTCTTCCATAAAACACAAAGGAGAGATACTGAAGAATGTACTTGTTGCTTTTTTCTGTCATTACAGAAATGGGTAATGGAGATTTCAAGCTTCAAAAAGGATGCAAAGCAACATAACAAAAAAGACCATACAACTATATTCCAAGTCTTCTGAAATCACATGATAGCTTTGGGTGAGAAAAATCAATATAAGTAGTTACGCAATGATAATCTTCTCCTCCAGCCATCTGTTAACTCAAATTATTTAATTATTAATTAACTCAAACAAATCATTTAGAAAAAGACCAATGAAAAGACCTGTTTCATACAGTTTATTGTGTATGGTTTAAAATCTCCATTTGAGCTCCACTGAAGAAATGAAGTTGGGTTTGGGACGACATGAGGGTGAATTAATTAAAGAACTTAAATTTTCGGACGAACTATCCTTTTAAGACTGAAATATCAAAACATAAGTACACGGTAAGCTCCTAAAAAATTTATTTAGCCTTTGAATCAGGTATTCACATACATAACTGCATAAGAATTCCTATTCTTAAAAGCTCTGATAAAAATGTGTCTAGTATTATAACAAAAATCATTTTACTGTTGGCAAAAAAAAAAAAAAAACATCAC